CCCCAAAACCCCAAAACCCCTTAGATGAATTTCAACTCGCATAAGGTGATTTTCAAAATTTAATGAAAATATTTCTTAAAGTTATGACATATATATTTATTCAATTCTAAACTCTATTGAAATAAAGACTATCAATGAGTGGTTTGCACCTGCCCAGTACTGCTCGTACTGTGCTGCTAAAATTTATAAGGAATAGAGATAAATATGGTCCTTCTGGTTAAGGAATAGCTTCTGGTAATATCTATGATATCTTTGCTGATTAGATAGTCTGAATTAGTAGTACCCTTTGAACATCTAATGAATAAAAATGAGTCCAAGTTTGAACTCCTTTTAACTCTTAATTTAATGGGTGAGGATAAAGTTAGATACCGTGCTTATATCGATGATGATATAGCGCCTGAAAACAATGCACACATCATTGTTGATGAAATTGATGTCTTATTGCGCCTAATGCATGCATAGGAGTTATTGCTGCTAACTGCTAATACTACCATAAAGAAGAAATTCGCTGGGTAGCTATAGTTCTCACAGTAATACTTCTCATTTAGTGTCATTTTAGCAATCATCAATCTGAATTCACTATTGAAAGATGAAGTCACCAAAGGCTCATTCAGTTGATGAGAAGGTTGTACTTATACAACAGATTTCTTAGATTAGTCCTATGCTTATCTATTGCAACGATGAGCTTACTAAATAAGTTGTTTGTAGCTAATGAACAGCTTCTTCTATTTACAAAGGACAATAAATTTGAGAGAATCTAATCTCTAGGTTAGTTGATGAAGGAGACAGCTCTCTTTACTGTAACTTTAGTTGTCTCACAGAATACTTTAGGAATGAGATGCTTCGATTAAAGATGTGATAAGTTGTCAAAAACTCTTGTTATTGTCCAAGTTTGATAGCAAGAGAGATGCGATGCAGGCATTCAGCTTAGTTGGTAGGTTCGGTGAATCTTTCATCGCTTTTATCGAGATCATTAACTAGAGGAATGAAGATACTCAAATACTTGATCAAATGAGCTTTTTATCCCAACTCACAAACCAGATGCAGTGAAGCTTCAAAAGATAGGGTTAAGAAAATAACCACGAAATAAAATGAAATAGAGCACCTAGAAAGGTAAAGCTCCTTGGACAATGACCCATTAGACACAAAAAATACTCTAAATAGGACTGAAAATTTGTTTTTTTAAAAAAAAATTATATTAATTCATAAAATAACATCATTGTAATATTCTTTTACCTTTACACCTTTGTCCTCCCATTTAAGTCACATATTTTTCATTGTTATATTCATTTTCACTAGGTCTCAATCCTTTGTCTCTCTCTATTTAACTATTTTTATTATTCTGATAATTAAACTTAGGGTGTATTTTATAATTATTTACTAAATATTGTCAAATGGACTCATCAGACAAGGGATATGGATGCCAAAACTGCGGTTGCTCAAAATATGATTACAGTTTTGATAGAACCCTGCAAAATAACTGGGGTAAAGCTGCTCCTTTTGTTTTTTTTGTCAAGACGTTTACTCTAAATATTGGAGATATATCTGATTTTGCAAACCGTAACAGGTGTAGCTGTGGTCATTTCCGAGTTGATCATCATGGAGAATATCCCGTGGATTTTTCTATTAGTATATCGGGGTCAAAAGCTTTATGAAATTTTAAATGCTCTAGTTACCTCACTTAATGATTTAAGTGTTCTTATGTTTTTATATTGGTCTTCTGTGAAGAAGATCTTTAATTTTTAAAAATTTGATTTTTGACCAATTTATATTTTAACTTTTGCCAATCATTATACTTCATAAATTTTCATCTGGCGGGGTTTTGGGGTTTTGGGGTTTTGGGGTTTTGGGG